TATAGCGAGTCTCCGGCTCCCGAGCGCCGGAAAACTCTGGGACAATCGGTGATTCTGTACTATTCAGGACGGATCGGCCAATTGAATGCCCCAGCAGCGTCGATATCCGGGTTGTGTGGAGGAAAAATCCATCTCCGTCTCCCCGATTCCCATTTCCCGAGGCTGACAGATTTCGGGCCCCGGAAACCATTCGAGAACATCATTGATTGAAAATCCTCGCGCGGAAATGTGAGCTTTGTAACGAGGGAACTTTTGAGATGACGCTGAGCGACACTCGGGAACACCGCAGAAGAGCGGCCGTACTTCGAATCGGGTCGTGCACTCCTCCCGAGATCATTTGATTGACGAGGAGAGCGCAACTCCAGCCCGGCGTCCCCATCCATCGCGTTCGCGACGCTGTGAGGTGCGTTGGTGTCTCGCTTCGCGCCCATAGGCGTCGTGATCTGCTGCTGTTTCAAAATGAGTAATTGTTGTTTCCGGACTAATCAGTCAGCACGTCAGCGAGCCCACCAAGGGTCTCAAGGGGCTGGAGCAGGGATGGAGGGTCCTCGTACGGCAGCATCATCCATTTGGTTCCGAGCCCGATATCGGAGTCAGTTGAAGTCTCGGAAGCTAACTTACAACACGGAGAAAATTCTGGCGGCCGTCAATGGAGATGCTTGAGTGCGAGAAGGTCAAGTAGAACATCACAAGACGTGCGCCTCCATCGGAGAGCATAAGCCGCCCTTCCAATCTGACTGAGTGGGAGTGTCTACCTAAGTTTAGGACTCTTACACGTACAAGAGAGTGCGGTGACCACCTTTCCTCCACCGCGTCCGAGGATGATCCCGACCGAACCAACCGAGAACGCCAGAGAGTTCACCAACGATGGAGCGTGCAGTTCCCTCCAACGTCACGATATTTCTCTCACTGTAATCGAATGTTATAGTTATAACGGGACCGTAACGCCGAGGAGCGGAGCAGTTGGAGAGGTGGGCGGCAGTTAGAGCCGCGGGTGGGTAATTAATATTCAACAGCTCGTAGTCGATCAGTCCCGAGTTCTCCTTACCGGTCGTCAAACGCAATACCGCGCTCCGTCTATCTCATCTATTATTTATCGCTGCTATAAAGTACGCAACGAGCGGGAAAGCCAACCAAATTGACTCCACCAACACCCTGTCATCGTCGAAGATAACGCTTATGCACAGTCTTTATTGACGCCGCCGTCGAGAAAAATATTCGTGGGAATCCTCCGGAGCAGAAAAAAGACGGGGAAACTCTTTCTGTACCGACCTGGCCTTGGAGATACCGACGGAGCGAGATCCGTGGTCGTCCCTGAGGTAGAATGCCCTCACTAATTATTATCTCTGATGAATTTTTGACTGACTGGACGGGAGATATGTATGACGGTAACGAGAGCTCTGCCTGCCATCGGTTGGGATCTGTTTATCGATGAGCTTTTTCAATGCCTCACTCGTTGTATGCGCTCGAGCAGCTGCCATAAGCGAGAGAGGAATCCAGTGACAAACAGATCTAAGCGCTTTTCCCGCATATGGTCGCAGTACAGAGCACGACGAATGCGGCGGAGGCTGTGGTTTATTCCGGAGAGCTTTCGGTCGCTCGACTACATGTGTACGTTGACATCTGCGCCATCAGACAGAAACATTTGCGCCTATCCAATGACATCGCATCCATAATTCCGATCACCAAAGAGTCTCGGGTGATATTCTGCTACCTGTGTGGATCCTCTGCGGAGCGTAATATTATCGTTATCTACTAGCTTAACACTCACTCCGGTTACACGAGGCGCCGAGAAAAGTCCTTAGTTTGTCATGGGAATTCGATAGAGAATGGAGGAGACTGGAGCTTGGAAGAACAGCGTCCCGCGAGGGATAGAACATTCCCCCTCCCAATCCTGAGAATCATTATTCATGGTCTACCGATAATGCTCGGAGACCAGACTGCAACCAGCGGAGCGAACCGTAAGCTGCTCGCTGGTCCGCGTCTCGTCTCGAGGAAAAACATCTTTCTGGATTTGAGTCTCCGATTTCCGACGCTTAGACAAGCAACAAACAGAGACCTCTTCTATCGAAATCATTCGCCTGCACAAGCATCGATAGCGGCGTCGACGGCAGGGATGGAGACGGCGATAATGGCGGCTTTAATGACTCATGGAGGACTCGGGCTCCGGCCTTGTCTATCATTCACTGGATCGCGCCGCGGGAGCTCTGCAGCTGATCAGCAAGACCAGCGCCGACGTTAGGATCATATCAGGGCGAGGATGGTTTCATTAGGTGGCACCGTTGTCGAAAATGAGTCATTGATCTCTACGGTCTTGCGTGTTCAGCATTCCGACCTTCTTTCCGGGGCAATCTTCGCTCGTGCGGAACCTTCTGATGTTCTCAGAAAAGCGTTCAGCTTCTGGAAAGCTCTACTGCTACTTGCGGTGAAACCGAGGAAGGTTTCCATCACAGCTGTGAGAATAGGGGAATCGGGAGGCTTCGAGCGAGCGGGAACTGCGTTTGGTATTGACGTCATCAACGATCAAGTACCTGAACCTACATCCGCGTGCACGCCATCGCCGGCCCTATACTAGAGTATGATTAGACAATAAATTATTCTCCCAACTCTAGCACAACTATTGCGGGAGTAGGTGATTCGCAAGGGAGAACTCAGATGCTCTGCGAGGAAAGCCACTTCCAACCGTGGACGAATACCGGAGGTAATTGCAAGCTGCTAATATCCAACATCCCCGATATTAACTCTCTTTACTGTCGGCAGCAACGCGTTCGGGGTCAGGAGGGACAAGACTGGCTCTTGCAGTTGAACTCGAGCTTTCACCTCGCTTGGAGATGGGTATTCTCCAAGTACTCCCCTCCTCTAACTCGCAATCTATGGAGATGATACTCCGTCCGGGATCAAGACTGACCGCATGGTTCTTTCTCTCCTGCCGACGAGTCGCGACCCCGACCCAGGCGGTACTCCCGGGAAACGGCCATTTTGAAATGTTTGTAGGCCAAGCTCAATCGAGTCGAGGGTTGCGACTTATACGACGAGGATGAAAGAGAAACTCCGACGCTTCCCTCTGAGCATGTTTAGAGACGCCGGGAAACCAACGGATGAGGTTATGGTTCTGACGCGATGAGACCCAATAGACCGCATACTCGGAGACTTCCAGTTTCCTCAATGGGGTCCAAGCCGGGCTACGACATAGCCGAGCTGAACGCCGGTTTCGATGCAAAATCGATGTTTCTCCGATTCGTCGGGAACGGGACAGAGAGGACTCAGGAAGCATACTCGATATCCAAGTAATGATAACGAGATGTAGGATATTCGCGTACGAATCATGGCTGATGTGAGTGAGCAATAACCGGGAACGATGCAACGCGAAGTTGCCCGAGACTCCTCAGGAAACTCGATTCCCGAGGGAGGATCTGTTCTCTGGAAGTCCACCCCAACGTCTGGCTCGGAGACGTCTTTCGCTCTCTTCTTCTGTCAATACTCGTCCTGACGGTCAGGGATCGTTCGGAGAAGACCTGCTACCGAGATACGATTGCTGGGAGCAAGAGAGTTCTCTCTTCACGTCGACTCTGCGGGGAATAGCCTGAAAGATATCCCGTGTCCAGTGCCGATTCTGTCCTGACAGCCAGCTAGACTCCCATGCTCGATAGGCTTACATTTTTCTCCGACCGTGTTCCTCCGATGAGAAGATCGGTCCGAACATGAGTCCGAGTTCGATAGTTTGACCCGCTGAGAATATACGTCCCATACCCAATATAGAGAGACCGAACCTCGGAATCCACCCACGACATTGAGAGACATTTGTGAAGAACAACTATGAGGGGGTATAGGAGTGGGCTAGGTAAGAAGTTTCGCACGTCATGCGGGAAATTCCACTCGTCCCGCTGGAGCGGACGCGAAACACCATTCCCTGAATGGTGCGGTCATACCTACGGTGTTCCCTCAGACCTAGAATACTGAAGTTACGTCAAGATATTAGTGTCTACGGCAAACCATCAAGGAGGATGGCTGCTGATAGGAAGAGTTCCTCAGTGGAATGCAACGAAATGATCATGAAGGAGTCTCAGAACACGAATCTCACGAAGTTCGTATGATGATGACTTCGAGACTTTGGAATGAGCTCTCTGTTCATATACAGTAAAGGGCACGCATGACAGCGAGTTTCCCCGGTTCAAAAATTAGAGAGGCCCCTGATATGAACCCATGTACCTCTGCTGTTGGAAGAGAATGAATTAGGGTCTCACTCTCGGAGGAACTCGGTAGGGATAGAGCTTCAGTTGCTGGCTCCGATGGATCTGACTGTTGTTCCGGATCAGCAGGAAACATATTCTTAGCGGCGGACATGCTGTTTGCTTGGCGTCTTCTCCCCTATCGCGGACCTTATTTGAAACTCTGTCCACACCATTCTCCATCCCCGTCAAGCAGTGTCGGAGCTCTCTCGTCCGCGGAAGTCAGCAGGAATAGTCGGATGTCGACGACCTCTGCTGCCGATCCTAGCGCGGGCGGATACAACGATACCGAAGACGGCAAAACGTGCAACAAGGGAGGCATCTAAAATCGGGACCGAAAAAAAAGCCGAACCGACAGTGTTCGCCGGTTATTTTTTCTTACGGCAGCAGTTGCTAATTTTAGCGAATGGGGGGCGCTGCCTTCGTTTTTCCCACAGCCCTCTCCCAGTCGTAGGATAAAACCTTTCGGAGGGAAGATCCCACCAGCAAAGCGGGTCGTCCTTTCCCAAGCGTTGCACACGTATCGAGTCCGTCCGAGCAATGCCATGGGTTCAACGATGGAGGATTCATAGGTCAACAATACCATCTGACGAGAGTTGAGACCGTGCTGATAACGCCAAGTTTGTCCAGAAGTGCCAGAAAGGATTGCTGTTATGTGTTAAAGAAACGTCTGTTGCCTGCTCATTGGACCAAACCTCGAAAATCGTTGATGAAGGGATAGCCTGCCGCAGCGGGCAAAAGTTTCATAGATTGCTTCATTCATCCATAACTATGACAGTCAGGATTATGCTGTCGATATTTTTTGTGACATTCTTCGGATTCGCATGCGGACACTTCAGAACACTTGAGAAGGCTCGACTATCGACTCTGTCCTGTAAATCAAATTGCTTGGAAAACGTAAGTCTCTAATCCTCTGCATAATGCACGTGTTTCGCACGTGCAGCTTTCGGTTCCGCGACGGGTCGTCCGTGGTAGTCCCCAGGGAAAGTGGCAGACGGGGATCTCGACGATTCGCGCCCCGAGAAGGATGACGAGTAGATGTTTTGGAAAGACTCGAATCGGCAGAATTTTCCACTGACTAATCCTTCGACCGGACACGGCAACTTCGACCGCCGAACAAAGCGTGTAGAGAAGCGATGCTCGTCGGGCGAGACGCAACTTGCAGCGTAATTAGTGGTTTTAATTATTCATAACGAAGTTAGAAATGACATGGAATGAACAGCCGACATCTCGCAGAACAAGACGGACGCCGCGAAGATGCGGTGGATGATGCATGAGTTGTACAGACCGATGAAAGGGTCTGGAAACCCGGGAAACATGGCAGGAGAAATGCTTCTCCATTCCGCCCTCGGCATCGAACGGGGAAGAAAAAACGCGCCTAGGGTCGGCCGATTGCGCGGACCATTCCTCCCTTTGTCTCTAAATGGCTAAAACAGCGATCGCACGGCGCGAAGCTGCGGGATATCGGGGTGGCATTGAGTGAAGTTTCGGAGGGATAAATCATCGGCTCTCCCAGAGCTCCAAGCGTCGTCGGAGCTTAGACATGTCGTCAGTCGGGACTCGGGATAGACTAACACGCAGATCTCGTAGGAATAATGGCCAACATGGAGTCGACTCGTTGTTATGCTCACGATGCGTCTTCGTTGAACCGAGCGGGTTCACGTCTGGTAACAGCAATTCAATGCTGACAAATTGCGAGCGAGATTTCTCGGGAGCTCGGCGGTGGATAATGATCGAGTCGCTGAAATTTGTCCTTGAGCACGGCGATGACGGAAGGAGGACAGAAGCGGACAAAATATCACAATATTCCTCGTACTCAATCGAAGGATCTCGATGCACCGAATGGAGAAGACAGGGATCATGGGAGACTTTTTCGTTGACCAGTCTGGGAATGGAAAGAATCTGCGCTCCGTCGGTCGGAGTTTGGCTTCGCGACATACTTTGCGATGCAGATTTGATTTCGACAAGCATCAGCAAGCATTGAGGATTCAGAACTCCGCTTCCTGGAATGAAGAAAGAGCTGGCGAGGAACTGGAGAAAAAATTGACTAACGGCAGGAAACGCTGGGCGGCCGGAGCTAACAGAAAGGGGTTATACCTGCTACGCCACGAGTAGGATTGAGCTTCCGCCGGCGGTCACGGATCCGCGATGGTCAGAGATTCCGCCTGCCAAATCATGAAGTGAGCTCTCATCAAGAGAACCGGAGCTCGATTGTGCGTGGGATCTGAGATCAATCTAGATTGGTCCTTTTTGCTGACGCAGATGTCAAGAACGATACTTCAGAGCACAAACTGGAGGAACGTCTGACTGAGCGGAGCTCGTGGCTGATGGACGATGTTCGGTATCTCTAGCCTGAAGGCATCCGCGAGAGGATCCCACCGGGGCTGATTCCCGATACAGTGACAGTGAAGGTCCCGAGCGAGCACAGGAGGTAAGGAAGCTCCGGAAAAATGAGCGGATATCCAATATCTAGTGCGGCGGAGGTTCGTGGAATCGTTTGAAAATGTGCGGAAACGATGTTAGGACGAACACTCCGCTAAAACCGTTTCCCACGGCACGAAACGCACGCAAACGACCAACCAACCGACCGACCGACCGCTTGCCTGCTGCCAACCTCATTTTCTAAAAGCGCTGATTGCGTAGCCGATGGCGAGAGCCAATCCGCTCCCCTTCTGCCTGAAAGTACGCATTACGCACTCGTTTGAACTTCAAACGGTTCGGGGAGAGCTTTCTGGCGGACGTGTGCGAAGCCACCATCTTTCTTTCGAGTCAACGAATCTGCTTACTTGCGACTGCTTCTGGCGAAAGACTCCCTTCAGAGGACGCGTCGCACTCCCTCGACTCCCAGCTTGGGATCAGCGTCGCGCGCGATCGATTTCCGGCTCCGATCCGGAGATCATATCTTTCGGGTTGAACACGCATTCCACTAGGAAATTCCTCCTCCAGACGTATATTTCGAGTGTTTCCGTCAATGTGACTGCGCAAGAAACCGAGGCCGACGGTCGCTGTTTCTGTCGTTTCGTGCTGCCTGAGTGATTGAACGGGGACTCGGCGAAGATCTCCGATGATCCAATTGAGGACTCGCGGCTGGAATATTGCGTTGAGATACGGATCGTGCGAGGATGCGTAATTGACACATCGAAGGCAAACGCTCCTAGAAGTTTGGAACACCCTATTCATCGGGGCGACACATGAGCTCGATTCCTGTCACCGCTGAAGCGCCTGATTCCGAGGAGGATTCTCTCGTCATCCCCCTTGACAGAACGATATTCGGAAGAGGTTTTGCCGGAGTTCCCCGGGGAGCTCCGGTGACATCGCACTTATCTGCGGAATCGGATAAACAACACTGTTGAGCTCCCGTCCCCGGTGTCGTCGACTAAAAACTGTTGCTGCCCTCATTGTCGTAATCTTTCCGGCCGTTGACAGGCGAGCGTTGAGACTGCGTCGTATTCTCGCTCCCCAGGATCTGTAATTAATCAAAGCATGACGCTCCCGGCTCGTTCCCCCGATGATGGCGGAACCGCCGTGGGGAGCGACGCGACGCCGAACCGGAAACTAACGAAGGAACTATCTCAAGTGACTCTGGAGAGATAATACCCACTTGTGTCTCCCAATCGGCGATCTTGTCGATCGCTGTTCCCTCATCATAGCCGTCGGCGGCGGTCGCGCGGTATGCGTCGGCCGCATCATGAATTACCACGTGGCTTCCGGGCGAGCGCTCCGAAGACGAGCTCCGCGCGACTAGAGTTTGAAGCTTACAGGAGATAGGGATGACAAGCTGTTTTTTCCGAAGTTAGCTTGTCATCACAGCAGGCTCGTAGATGAAGCATGCAAACCAGAGAGCTCGACAAGAGCACTTCTATGGGAAGCTTGCGCTCACAGACGCTCGCGGAACGCCCTACAGCGGCTCAGGAAGAAGAATTTGCGTTCCAGGCTTCCTGGGTCGTATCAAAGAGAGAACCGATCGCTACTCCCGATTCTTGGGCCAACATGTCCGAGCGGGGTCCGACCCCGAGCTTGGGTCGGCGCCATTATGTCGGCAGCGACGGCTGCTGTGCAACGATGACTCACTCAGACTCGCTTAAGCCCAGGCGGTCCACCATAGGGGCCGGAGGACCCCGCCGCCGAGCCGCCAACAGTTTCAACACCGCCAACAGGCTTCGCGGATCATCACCACTACCAAAACGTTCGGGGAGTTCTGGGTCATCGGGACCGAACCCACGACGGAGGACGAGGTCTACGCGGTCTAGGCAGACCGGAGACAAACTGCATGCGCAGCGGAGGGGATGGCTTAGTTTCGGACGATTTAGCTCCTTGCCCTCCCATGCCTGCTGGCTCCGAAATCGCTCGACCACCAACATATCTGAGTGAGTCACCAAAACGAAGAGAAATTTCCCGCCCGGAGACCAAGAGGGAAGGGCGAGAACAGAGGGGCGACATAGTACATACAGACAAACAAACCAACCAACCAACCCACGTACACACATATATTCTCTCAGCGACGGGTCGAGCGAGTTCGCGGGAAACTTCTGTCGGGACGCACGGGTCGGGACGAACGCTCCATTCGAAACGAGCAAATCGAGCCGATGCCTCCGGTTTGCTGCTCGCTGTTCGACGGGGTCGGTCGGGGAAGAATTCGGCGTATTGCCGCTCCGTCTACACTACCGAACGACCTCTTCGGCGCTCGGTGGCCCAGGGATTAATGGACGCATTCAATGTGACCGCGTCTTCTCCGTGTCGGTCGGTCGCTGATTCGGAAAAAAGACGAGTGCTCCATTGTTTTCTATGATTCGATTTCCCTCGTTGGCCCAGAGTCGGTGCCGGCGGATCAACGGCGGATTCTCCCTGTTACAACTCCGCAGAGGAACGGAAAATTCGAACTCGTGCTTCAATGGATGGGCTCCGACTTTCATCTGTGTCGGACGATGCACGTATCTTTGACATGATCGGTTTTTTTTTTGCAAAAAAATGTCACCCCTCGCCGTTCTTCGGACAAACAGCTCGGATAAACCCGAGCCGGGCAGGAAAAGCGAATGTTCCTTCGGATACCTCGACGGATGCCTTGACGAATATGCCGCCGGATACCTTGACGGACACGTCCTGACGTATTGGGAATGACGTATGTACCGGCACCGGCTTAGACGGATGCGTTCTGCTGCTTCCTCGAGGTCCCGATTCCCGAATTTATTTTTGTTCCTTGTCCCTCGTGTCCCATTCAGGTGAAATGGTTTGGCGGTTGCAACGAGTGAGTTTCTCGATTAGCGATGCATCATGCTCAAGTGGAAATGTGCTGACATCATTGCATACGACAGCATTCGTAGTTGCCAAAAAAGCCCGCGGTACGCCTATGTATTCATCGGCACATCGTGTCGACTCAGCTTCCTGCTCCAGCGGCCGAGCGGCGTTCGTCGGTCCCAAACTCCGTTTGCCTTTCGACATCCCTCGTTCTCGGGGTTTTTGAATCCATTCCGCATTCGTGTGACGACGCGAAATGCGCAGTCCGAAGGTGGAGGCGAGTTTTTCCTCGCGTGTTTTCCGTATCTGTCATCTGTTCTGGGGAAGGACCCGTCTCCTGCTGACCAGATCTGAGAATCCGCCGGGGCATAGTGCAGTATTTTGTAAGCGGCTTCGCGAGCGAATCTCGTTGTGGGATAACGCTGAGCTCACGGGCGAGCTCTGAGAGGAATGACAGATCGGAGGAAACCGTGAAAGTCCTGAATTTTCGCCGGATTGTGGACCGACGCATGCAGGCCCTCACCGGGGAGTGAATTGAAAAAGAGAATCAATGAGCTGGAGCTCAAGAATGTAATGGATTCATCCGCGAGGAAAAGGCGGGAAACAGAGTCACCTGCGGAAGCTTTGAAGGGAGAGAGAACGAACAGGCGGGACAGAGTGAA